GCTGTGTTCTGCACTCTTTCCACATTGTTTTCCTTTGTATCATTTTGGACACTGTGAAAATTGTTCTCTCGGTCCTGCTCCCTTCATTCTGCATTAGTTCATGTTAGTCTTCACATGTTTCTCCGAACTTTTGATAATTGGCATTTCCTATGGCATAATAATATGGCATCACATTCACAGGCCACAATTTGTCTGGCCACCCATCGATTGATGTGCACCCACCTTCCTCCTAATTCTTTGCTATTGCTGGTAATATTTTTGTTTGTGCGGGACCTTCCCCCTGACTTTGGCCTCTTTGGGAAACCTAGTCCTGGTATGGCCTGGCTGAGGGTCACGAAGAGTGTAATGGCTTTTCCAGAACAATCAGCCCAATTCATAGTTCCACCAATGGTGCATTGCTCTGCCTACTGTCCTGTTTGGAATAGTACACTAACCTTCTCACTGCTCTCTGTGCCTCCAACCCAGCTTCCCCAGAGCTGCCAAATGATCTCTTTGGCGACAGTCTGACCTTCAGTAACTCCCTACTGTGTCTAGTAGAAAATGCAGCCCTGGCGGTTAAGGCATCTACAGGAGAGCTCCAAGCTACTTTTCCAGGCATCTGGCTTTGACGAGTTCTGGCTGTGCTATCCTGAACAAGTCATCTTAGTGCCCCAGGGAACTAAGTCTGCAAGTTGTGGACCTGCATTGGCAGAGTGACGGTCTTCACTTTGGAGTTCCCTACCAATGACGTCCCAGGCCCAGTCTGTTGCCCTACCCCATTTCATGATGCCATTCAGATTGGATCACTGGGTGGTCTCTGAACTTGGCATGCCCTCTCCATCCTCTTTGCATTCACACAGGCTGCTGTCCCCCATGCCTGGAGTACACTCCTCCCTCCTCTATGACTTTCAGACTCCTTCTGTTTCGTTAAGACTCAGCCCAGGTGTTTTCTCTTCCAGGAAGCCCCTCTGGATTTCCCCAGCTGAAAATATTTTCTTCTTCCTCCAGGAAACCTTGTCTGGTTTTCTCTTTGCCCAGTGGCACTCTATCAGTTGTATATTCTGGGTCACCCTCCCCTGCCCTGGAACCAAGCAGAATATAAGCTTGTTGAGGACAGGGATTGAGTCATTGTTTTTTGTCTTTGTGTCAGCAACCGTTAGCACAGTGCCTGACCCATATCAGTCCTGACTCTGACTCCTACTTGCCCTGGGTAAGTCTCTTGGTCTCCTTTGACCTCAGTTTTATCATCTGTAAAAAGAAGCAATTGGTTGAGGTGCCTTCTAGGTCCTGCTCCATCATTCTAGAAACTTAATAAATACTGGTTGAATTGAACTTAGTCTGGGTGACTGGGAAACTGCACCATTGATAGAAATGGAAGTTCAGATGGTTTGGGGAGTGAAAGGGAGATAATATCAGTCTTAGAGATGTGTTTGAACCAGCTGCTGGTTGTTCAGGTGGAGATGTTCACCAGGTAGTTAGAGATGTAGCTGGAGCTCAGGAGAGAGGTCAGGGCTGGATATATGGGAGTATTCTACCAAAAGGTGATGGGATGGGATGGGATTGGAACCATGATTTTATAGATACGGGGAATTCCTGGTGAGGAAACTCCCTCTACCAATATAGGTTAGCCCCTTCTCAGCAAATTATAGTTTTAGAGTGTTTCCTGGGGCACTGGAGTAAGTGAAGGTGAAGAAATTTGTGCAGGGTCACATGGGTATGACTGGAACTCAGGTCTCTTAGGCCAGCTTTCTACCCACTCGCTATGCACTGTGTTCAGGTGAGAGTTGGAAGAATGCGGGTGAATACAGTTGAGGTGCAAGGTGGATCAGAGTGATATCATTGAACTCAGGTAACAGCCAGATTTAGGATGTGGGGAAATGAGAGGAAATGGGAGGGAGAGATGACAAAAGGAGATAAAGATAGAAAATGAGTTGGAGACAGAGACATGGAGACATAGAGACATAGAGACAACGAAGGAGACAGAGGGCAGGAGAACAGCTCAAGCTCACAGGTAGAATTGTCTCAAAGTTCTCCCCTCCCAGCAGCTCCACATGACCACTCATTGTGGGTGTGGAGGGGATACTGGGTCAGATGAGCTGCTCTGTGAGGTCCCTTTCAGTTCTGAGAGTCTGGGATTCTCTGAGAGACGCAGAGAGAATGATGATGGGAGAAGATTGATAGAAGGCATTAGAGAATGAGTGACAGACTAATAGAGCAAAAGATAGAATAATAAGAGTGAATGATAGGATAATAAGAGTGAATGATATGATAATAGAGAAGGTGAGAATAAATAAGAGAAAGGGGAGAAAGAATCAGCTAGTATATGACAGAGAGAAGGGGAGAGGGAGAACAAGAGATGAACTGGAAAAAGAATGAGAAGATAAAAAAGGGAAGTAGGCTGTGAGAGGAAGAGAATAAGAAAGCAATGAGGAGTGAACAAGAGGATGAAAGGATAAAGAAAGCAAATGAAAGAGTAAGAGTGAGGAGAAAGAGGGAGAAGAGAAAAGATAGAGTGAGAGCAAGGAGAGAGAAAGAGAGAGAAGAAAGAGAGAAGAGAGGAAAGAAAAAGAAAGAGAGAGAAGAAAGGTAGAGAGAAGAGAAAGAGGGAAGAGTGAGAATAAGAGAGAAAAGGGGGGAGAGAGAGAGAGAGAGAGAGAGAGAGAGAGAGAGAGAGAGAGAGAGAGAGAGAGAGAACACAAACAAACAGAGCTGACTCAGTGTTTTTTCCTGAAAGGGAAAAGGCCTGCCTTCTTATCTCAGCATCTCTCCCCTGTTGAAGCCACAGCGCTCCTCACCCTCCGCAGGTGGCTAACGCCCTCTTTCATCGTGGGAACTTTGCTGTCTAGGACGGAGGGCCTGATGCCTGGAGCAGGGTCTTTGTCCGGGGTGGGGCTGGGAGGCAGAGAGGGCAGGAGCCTTGGAGCCAGCTGAGGGGGTTCAGTGTATCTCGCTTTTCCCCTGGCTGATCTGTCTGCTGTCTGATGCCTGGGTACTCAGCGGCAATGGAGTTCTTAGAAAGTTGAATAAGCAGTCAGGGGCGGGCATTGGGGATGCACGATGCACTTGGGTTTTTCTCTCTACTTTGCAAGAAGCTGGTGACCAGATGGAGACAGTGGCCCAGACCTAGGCCAAGAGCACAACGGAGTAAGAGTCAGAAGACCTCAGCTCTAGTCCCAGTCCCGATACAGCCTCACCACCGTATGACCCTAGGCTAGTCGCACCTCCCACTCACGGCCTCCATTTCCTCATCTGTTGAATGCATAGACCACCTCTTCGGCTTGCTTAGGTGTATATGGGTGGGGTGCTCCCCTAGGGTGTGTCAGCATAACCCACCTACACTCTGCACAACTCTGCCTTCATCTGAAAGTGCCTGCCCCAGACGAAGGCTAACGACCATGCACATCAACCACGATGCTTATGAACAAAAATGGGGCTGTTACAAATAAAGATTCATCAGCCGATCAATCAACAAGCATTAATTAAGCCCTTGCTATGTGTCAAGCACCGTGCTAAGTGAGGGCTAGGGGATACAGAAAGTGCGAACAGCCCCCACCCCAAGGAGCTTACATTCTAATGACAAGAGATAACATGCAGAAATACAGGTGTGTGCAAGAGAACGTACAAAAACGCATGCAAAGTAAATTTAGGAGGAATGTTCTGGAAAGTGGGGGAGGAGGATTGGGGAGGCTTCCTGAAGAGGGTGGTGCTGGGGCTGAGACCTGAACAAAGGAATTATAGGAGATAGAAATCAAGTGGAAGTGTATGAGGAAGGCATGAGGGACAGCCAAGGCAAAGGCTGAAGATGAGAGAGGGATTAATTGATATTTAGAACTCCCCAATGCCTGACACATAGTAGGTGCTTAATAAACTCAAGCTGATTTATTGCTATTTAGAAGTCCCCAGTGCCTGGTACTTAGTAGGGGCTCAATAAATGCTTGAGATTAAGGATTTCCCCAAAGATTTTCAGTAGACCTATCATTTCATTTAAATGACAGAGTATCCCCAGATGAGAGTCCCCATAAGGTCAGCCCCATTTAAATGAAATGATAGGTCTACTGAAAATCTTTGGGGAAATCCCTAATCTCAAGCCTACTTTTGCATTTTGGGAAGGAGACTGAGGCTTCTTGCTGGCAGTGTGAAAGACTGGCATATGCTAAGGGTAAAAATAGAGGCATCTGGCTCTGCTCGGTGCTTCTAAGGAGGTGTGGGGAGGCAGCCAGGGTGGGAGAGAAGGGGCTGAGTTAGTATGGTGAAGTTGCAGGGGGATAATAGATATATTTCATGCTGGTCTGTGCTAGTCAGTCTGGTTTAGGGCAGGTAAGGGGAACAACTGGTCATTAGATTCAAGAGACCTGTGATTTGATCTTAGCTGCTTCTCTCATGCAACCTCCAAACCCCCCATCTTCCAGGAAAGCTTTCCTTACCAACCAAATACACAAAGATCCCTCCCTTGTCTGGACTCCTCTGGTACTTGACAATCTGCACTACTTCACAGAATACTTGAAAAGCTCGCAAGATTCAAAGCTGGAAGGAGCCTAGGAAGTTACCTAGTTCAGCTCCCTCTTTTTGGACATGAGAAAACAGGCCCAGGGGGTGGGGTGGGGAATGACTTCCCTAAGGACAAATAGCTCTTTCCGGTTCTTTCACGATTTTGATGAGTGGAAGCCCCCTAATCTGTCCTCTGGTTGGCCTAGTAATGGTTGGGGGCTGGTATACAGACCTGGGTTTGAATCCTGGCTTTGCCACCTATGTGTCTTTGGCCAAGTTGCTTCAGTTCCCTGGGTCCCTATTTCCTCATCTATAAATTGGAGGGGATGTACTAGGTAACTCTGGAGGTGTCAGACATCTCTAAACCTATAGCACTTGTACCAGATGGTTTCTTCTAGCTCTAAATCTGAGTCTGTGAAGCGGAGAGCACATTCCAGCCTTCAACTTTGGAACCTATCCCCCCATCCACCCCTTCTTACACCTCTGACCACAGACCCAGACCCTTACAGCCAATTTTGTTTTTGTTTTGGCAGGATCGACAAGAACATGCTGGCCAGCCTGAAGGTCAAGTAAGTAGCTGCTTCCCCTTTGATAAAGGTCACAGGTCAAATTTAAAGCTCCCTCCGTGGAGGGTCCCCGTGTGGGCCCCTCTCCTGTCACTTTCCCCTCAATAAACAAACAAGGATTTGAGGAATGGAGTTTGCCAGTCCTCTGGGCTTGGAGAAGACTGGACCTAGGATTTTCTTATTTAGGATTTCCCTCCCTGGGGAAAGGAGTGACTGGAGAGTGAGCTATAGGGACAATTATGCTGGAGGCAGCTCAAACTAGATCTCAGAAGCCCTTCATTAAATTTTCAGTGTAAATGTTTCTATCTCAGATATTGGCAAATGCTACAAATCAGGGCTTAATTGTTGTATTGTTGCTTGTTTAGACTTAAGAAAGTGATGCAGAAAATGTTAATAATGTAGACTAAATTTAAAAGCCTATTGTGTGTACATTTATTTTCCTGGAGAGCCAGTTGTTAAACATTTACTAGCACACTGCTAGATGGAAGTTTTGAATAGCTCATCTATATGAGAAAATCCTTCCAATTATCAGCCTTTATCAAAATTGGTTCCTTTCATTTTAACTCTCCAACTAAGGGTTTTCTAGGCTAAATTGACTTCTGCAGAGATTAATCATTCTACTTCTAAACCCTGAGCCTTGTGTTAGACACGGTGGGGAATGAATGTCAAGAGTACAGGGATTTTCATTGCTGATGGGAAGTAGGGCAAAGGTTGCCAGCTCTACTTCCTCCAACTGCATCTTTTCAGTCTTAGCCTGAGATGATTTGCATGACAACCAGGGGCATTTTGTGGGTTGCAAGGAATCTCCTTATCTCAAATCTGCCTTGCTCCTTGGCAGTTCTGCAAAGTAGAGACTCCCAAATGTGTCTTCTGCTTGACTTAGTAAATATAAACACACTGGTGGGGGTTAATGTACTGTAGTTTTGAATGGTTGTGGATCTACTAAATACTGGAGGAGTTTCCTAGGGGACCATGTATGGAGTATAGATGGTACATAAAGTAGAGAAGGCAAGGGATTAGAGCCACACTATCACTGGGGAAATGGACCACGTAAGTGATAAGTGACTTTGGATGACTTAGGAAAAGACTTATCATCATTTACAAGGCAGTATCCTACAAACTAACTATGAGAGAAGCAAAAGGGTGATGTGGAAAAAGTAGTGGAAGCTTTGGAACTTGTTTTGAAGCTGGATTCTTTTCCATTTGTGCTTGTCACAGGATGAGAACTATCTCGATTCCAGCGAGCAGCTGAAATGGTTAAGCTAAGTCTGTAATTCCCCAGCCCAATCCAAGTGATTGTCACTGAGGGGGCAACAATTTGGCAGGAGTTGGGACCTGCTGGAGTGTCTGGCACTGAAGTTGGGCTTCAACTGGGCTTCAACTGGGACATCTATCCAGTCTGGCTATGCCTGACTTTGGAATAGCTTCTCAGGTAGCTCAGATAAGGTACAAAGCTTTGCACAGCCAGACTGACCATTTTCATTTCATTAGTGTTAACAGGACAATCATTTCCCCCTACTTTTGTTACCTCCTTCATCCGGCATCCTAGTCCTTGGTCCCCAACTCCTTAGCTTTAGAGAATAACAGAATTTCACAATTGGGAGGAACCTCGCTGGTCACCTGGTCCCATCCCAAAGCTGGACCAAGAATCCCTTCTACATCATACCGAGCAAGTGAGCATCAGGTCTTTGTTGGACCACCTCAAGTGAGAGAGAACTCTCCACTTTCCGAGGCAGCCCTTTCAATGTTGGACAGCTCCCAATATTAGGACCTCAGTATTAAATCTGCCTCTATACAATTTCCATTGCTCCTGGTTCAGCTCTTAGGACCAAGAGGGAGTCTAATGCATTTTCCACCAGAAAGCCTTTCAAATACTTGAAGACAGGGATCATATCCCTTGTAAGTCTTCTTTTATTGGAGAATTCTGAAGCTTTTGAGGAATTTAGAGGTGGTTGATATTCCGGGAATTGTTCATGATGTCCAATGGATTTCCCATTAGTCAGACCACCTAGGATGAGGAGTCCATGGATCCCTAAAGGGTCAATGTATAGATTTCAGGAAGTCTATGAATTTGAATGAGAAAAAAATTAGAGGCAACCAGAGTCTTATCCAAGTCTTCCCACTTTCTAGCTAGTGTGACCTTGAGCAGGGACTTACAACCTCCCTTGTTTCCTCCTTTGTAATATGAAGGATTATGTTATAAAAGAAAGGACGTGGGATTTGCAGTCACAGGATCTGGGCTAGAATCCCAGCTCTGTTATCTATTACCTGTGTGAGCAGGGATAAGCCACCTGTCCCTTTGGGCCTCAGTTTCCTCCTCTATAAAATGAGGGGGTTGGACTAGATGGCCTCTGTGGTGCCTTCGAGGTCTAGATAGAGGTTCCTATGATCATCCTTTTATGGGAAAGTGACTGTAGTCTGACTGAGGGGGAGGGGAATTTGAATGATTAACCAAGCATTTATTAAGCACCTACTGTGTTCCAGGTACTGTGCTGAGTGATTTACAAATATTGTTTCGTTTAATCCTCACAACAGTCCTGTGAGGTAGGTGCTGTAATGATCCTCATTTTATAATAGAGGAAACTGAGGCAAACAGGTGTTAAGTGACTTCCTCAGGATCACACAGCTAGTAGGTGTCTGAGATTAGGTTTTTTACTTGGGTTTTCCTGACTCCGGACCCAGAACTCTATTCACTGTACCACCTAGTTGCCTCCCCAGCCCCCTGCCCAACCCTGAAATCTCTGGACTGTCAGACATCTGGCTGGGAGGTATCCAAGTCAGGCCCAGATCAGTTTTGTGAAGGTGGGAGGAGAAAATAGTCCTGATTTGGAAGAAGGGTTTGGGCATGGGAGCTTCAGGGAAGGAGGAGAGATTAGGAACAGGGGCAGGAGCTGTCCTCTCTGGAAGTCCAGTCTTGGTAGGGGGCTGTGAGGTGCCCTCTTTGCCTCTTCCTTTCTGGTTGTCGCCCTCCCCTTCCTCCTACTCCATTTTCCTTATTTCATTTTACCAAGGGATGAATGTCTGTTCACTTCATGTGTGCTGGACAGAGGTCTCACAGTCAGGAAATCTAATTTGAACCATGCCTCTGCTACTAGCTGGTTGACCCTTGTGCAAATCACTTGTGACCTCTCAGGTTCAGTTTTCTCATGTCCAAAATGAGGAGGTGGAATGGGACTCAGTGATCTCTTAAGTTCCCTTTTGGCCTGAAATCTTTGATTCTTTGTGATAGGCTGGGTAGCTTTGTTTTTTCCCAGAGATACTGAACTGGTAACCTGGGCACAAGGATGTGGAGGGCTGAGACCTCAATCAAGATGCATGCCCCTCTGATGGCTGGTCCACAGTGTACCATCTTCCATGAAAGAGAAGTCTTGGATTTCTAGTGACTGTTTTTTTTTAAGGATAGGCAATGGGTTTAAGGTCACACAGCTAGTAAGTGTTATGTGTCTGAGGCTGGATTTGAACTCAGGTCCTCCTGAATCCAAGGCCAGTGTTCTATCCACTGTGCCACCTAGCTGCCCCATGACTGTTCTTTCTAAGGAGAGCACAGAGAGGACTTGGCCAGGAGAGAACTGGACATAGGCCTAGGAGCTGGGGTGAGTCTGTTCTGTTGAGCCTTAACAATGAGAGAGGGAGCAGGAGTGGCCTGCCTTTCTAAGAACAGAATCATAGGCACTCACTCTCTGTTTTGGTCTCTGGGATCTCACTGTTGACTGTTCAGGCTCTTACATGAAAGTTCTAACAGTCTGCCTATGAGGGGAAGGGAGAGAAAGAGAAATGAGCTGCTGGAGGCCCCCTCTCTGGACTGACAGACGTCGGACTACTGTTTGCCAAAAACTATGGTCAGGCCTAGATCAGGTTTGTGAAGTTGGGGGAGAAATGGGTTGGGCCACCCGTGGGATTGGGTGGTTCCAGGCTCTAGGGTGTCCCATGACCCCCTTGGGTGTTCTGTCTCTCTCCTCATCCAAGCCAGAAGCTCCATGCTGGGACCTGATGGGTCTGGGCTGGTGGTTTGAAGGTAGAAGGTCGACTTGTTCCTTAAACTCTGGAGGGAAACACACTCTGTGATGACCTTGGATATATCACTTGACCTTTCTGGGTTTCAGTATTCTCTCTAAATTGAAGCGATGGATTAGATGTCCTCTGAGGTCCCTTCCAACTCTGAATCCCTAAGGACTTATGGTGCTACTGTGGTTTCAGTGGGAATAGGAACTGTTTCTCCCCTCCTCCTTTCTCCTCTCTTTTCCTTCTCTTTTCATCTCTGTCCTTTCTCCTCTTTTTTCTCCTTCCTTTTTTCTCTCTTCTTGCTCCTTCTTTCTTCTCTCTTCTCTCTCCTCTATCTTTTTTATCTCTCCTCTCTCCTTTCTTCTCTTTCCTTTTCCTTTCTTCTCTCTCTTCCTTCTTTTCTTCTCTCCTCTCTCCTTTCTCCTCTCTCTTCTCTTTCTTCTCTCTCCTCCCTCTTTTTTCTTTCTCCTTTCTCCTCTCCTTTATTCTCTGTCCTCTCTCTTCTCCTGTCTCCTCTCTTTTCTTCTCTCCTTTCTTCTCTCTCCTCTCTCCTTTCTGCTCTCCTTGCTTTTCTCCTCTTTTTTCTTTTCTCTCCTTCCTCTTTCCTTCTCTCCTTTCTTCTTTTTCCTCCCTCCTCTTCCCTGTCTCTTATCTCTCCCAGAGGAAAGGAGATGCAAAGGGAGTGGCAGGCTTCATGGGGAATTTGAGCTCCTCAGCTGTCTGGGAAGGAGGGGTGGGAGAACCCAGGCGCTGAGAAAACACAGAGCCTCACATGACCTCAAGGGGCAGAAGGGAAGCAATGGGAACAGAAATCTGGCTTTTCTTCTTGACATCTCTCAGGGACCCAGGAGCGGCCTGGAGCCTGGACCCCCTGATTCTGCAGCCACAGGACTGGTTAGATTCTCTGGGAGCCCCTGCTTTTAAGATTTGCTTTTAGACAGGGCCAAGCCTGAACTGCAGAGACTGAGCAGGAAGTGACCAGCCCCTTTTTTGGATGATGT